AAGTCTATTTCTTTCACCAGGTAGGGGAAGTTTTCTGTCATTATTTCTTCAAATAGGTTTCAATATCTTTGCTCTCTCTCTTCTTCTGGCACCTCTATAATTTGGATGTTGGTATGCTTGAAGCTGTCCCAGAGGCTCCTTACACTATCTTCGTATTTTTAGATTCTTTTTTCATTTTGCTTTTCCGGTTGGGTGTTTTTTGCTTCTTCGTATTTCAAGTCTTTGATTCTTGTGATCCTCTGGTCTGCTGTTGGGAGTCTGTATAATATTCTTTATTTCAGTCAGTGTATGCTTAATTTCTAGTTGGTCCTTTATCACAACCTCGAGGGTCTCATTAGATTTCTTCAGGGTCTCATTAAGTTTATCAGCGGTTTCAAAAAAATTCTTGAAAAACCTTAAAAGTGTGGTTTTGAACTCTATATCCAGTAGTTTTCTTTCCTCCATTTCTGTCATTTATGTCCTGTTTCTTTGTCTCGGCATTTTTTATGCTTCACTGTGTCGATAGAGTGGCTTTCTGTACTAAGTTTCCTATAGGGCCCAGTGGCTCAGCCTCCCCAATTACCTGAGGTGTACCACCTTGTGGGCTTTGTGTACAGTGTTGTTGTAGTTAAGCCTTGATTGTTGTAGGTATCACTGGGAGGAATTGACCTCCAGGCCAATTGGCTGTGAGAATCAGCTGTTTCTGCAGTGGGAGAACTTCTGTGCTGAAGACACCATTCCGGGGCAAGACTTGCTTCAGTGGGACTTTGGTGCTCACTGAGTCTGCCCCTTGAGTGTATCCCTTATGGATCTGAGGAGCTGCAATCTGGATGCTCCCACTCTGACCACTGGGCACATTGGCTCCTGTATCTCTAAGGAGGTGCTAATCTAGCCTCTGCCTGAGGCTACCCAGCGGAAGCCAGCTGTGAATGCATGCAAGTTGCCTTGGGGCCTTATGCCAGCTGCAGTTTGTTAAGTAATTTTCAGATTGCAAAGGGCCGGGCCTTTCATATGCAAAAGCCTCCGTGCATGGCTTGGACGGGGCGTGGCCCCAGGGGATCAACAGGGTGGGCGGAGTGAGCAGTTATGGCTGCTCTCAGTCCTGCCCTCAGAGGCCCCGTGCCCGGCAATTGCAATCACTGCGAGCACCTCTGAGAGAAAGCTGCCCTCGAGTTCCGACTGATGCCAGACAGTCCCGTTTCTCCGTATGAGTCTAGGTCCCCAGAGACTCACCCGGAACTGGAGCTCAGAGCCTGAGACTCCCTCTCGATTGAAAAAGACAATCGTGTCCTCAACCGCCAGCCCTCTCCGCATGCACCTCCGCACCTTTGTATTTTACTTCCGCACCGCACCTCCTCTGAGTCTTGGTATGCTTTTCTCTTTGCTTCTAGTTGTAGAATTTCCACTCAGCCAGCCTTCCTGTGGTTCTGGGTGATGTCCTTTCCATCTTTTAGTAGTATTTTTGAAGTGGTTGTGCGAGGCAGCAATCTCCGGTGTTTACCTATGCCGCCATCTTGGTTTCTGATTCAACAGCTTTATAATCACTCTCACTGAAATTCTGGGAAGAAAGGTGGCAAAAGTTTATTGTCAAACTGAAAATTTATTAATATATTCCCCTTTCTTATTCTTATAGGACATTATTATTCAGCTGAGTGACATAAAGAAAAGTGTGCAGGGAGTAATTCATCGCTACACTTTTGATGAGTTTGTGGAGACTGGAAAGACAATGTCTCTTTCAGAATATAAGAAACAGAGAACAAAGGTGCTGGAGAAAGTATCTTTTTGTGCTAATTCTGCTGACATTAAAGAAAAGATTCTTATCCACATCCTGGCCTGGTTGAAAGAATGGGGTAAGTTTTCAAAAGTGGCTTGAAGGAAAACCATAAAGTTGATGAAAAGGTAGAGAGCAGGATCTATAAGTAAATTTTGAAGGACTAGTAGACTAAAGAAGAAAGTATTAAGGAGTTGTCCTCTATTTCAGTAAGAATCTATATATATAAAAGGCTAAGCAACCGTCCAGCTGGTCAGAAGCTATGATGCACACTGACCACCAGGGGGCATATGCTCAATGCAGGAGCTGCCGAGCTGCGGTCACTTGGCAGTGGCAGTTCTCAAGTGATGCACCCCGGAACTAGAGAGAAGAGAGCCCGATTCCTCGTGACTCCTCTCCCACTCTGGGTCCCCTCAGGGGATGTCAGAGAGCCAGTTTCGACCCACCCCCCTAGGTCAGGCCAAGGGACCCCACCTGCTGGAGGGACCCTGCTCACTCCGCAGATGCCCTTTGAGCTGCAGCACTGGGCCAGGCGTGGCTGGTCAGGGAGGGACCGTGGGAGGTTGGCCCCAGGGCATGTCTGGCCTGTCTCACCCAGTCCTGCCTCACTGGCCACCACTCAGGACTGCCTGCATTAGTCCCTGCACCAGAGGGACTAATTAATTTCCTTTCAGCATGCACGAATCCATGCACTGGGACACTAGTAAAGTAATAAAAATATGGCTTGCTCACTTAGTGCCAATAATTCTGGCCTCCTTGTTTTGCTTCAGGCATGCCAGTATGCTCCTGCCCAGTGTCTTTATGCTTCCTATTCCCTTGCCTAAACATTTTTTACTAGGTAGACACATGGCTCATTCTCTGCTTATATCTTACTTTAAAATGAGGTGTTCTCTTTCCTCTGAAGCAGGGGCTAATGGTTTGACATGCTGTAATTGCCTGGCAGAGAGTCATCATTTTGGTCCAATGATGGGAAGTCAGCTCAGTTGGCAGGGAGTGTGGTGGTGGGGGCACCCAAATTAAAGAGAATTATTTTCTAATACTATTTAATTTGGTTTGGCTCAGTGGAAGAGCATATGCCTGCAGACTAAAATGTCCCACGTTCGATTCTGGTCAAGGGCACATTCACGGGTTGTGGACTAGATCCCCAGTAGGGGACCTGCAGGAGGCAGCAGATCAATAATTCTCTCTCATCTTTGATGTTTCGGTCTCGCTCCCCCTCCCTCCATCTCTGAAATCAATAAAAATATTTTTTAAAAATTTATTTTTGGTATCTCTTTCTTACAGTGACTTTTTCCTATTCATAAAATAAATTATAATGAATTATACCTATAAAACCTTTATTTAAGTCCAGAGTCTACTCAGCAACCTTGATCTGTATTCATATATACTAGAGGCCCGGAGCATGAAATTCATGTGCAGGTATGGTCCCTAGCTAGGCGTGGCCTGTGATTGGGGCCATCTTCCCCAGCTGGCCGCAGCCAGCCCCATCCTCCCACCCCTGGTTCCCCGTTAGCCATTGGATGATCGGTGCCTGACAGCTGGGGGAAGAGACTGAGAGGTCAGCTGTTTCCACCCGCTCACCAGCCCCACCCCCACTGCTGGTGGCCATCAGGTGATTGGAGCCTGCCAGCTGGGGAAAGGGACCAAGAGGTGGTCAGTGTGCCTCATAGTGACTGGACCAGTGGTTTTTTTGGTCGTTCTCCCATTAGGGTCAATTTGCATATTACCCGTTTATTATATAGGTTAGAGGCCTGGTGCACAGGTGACAGCCAGCTGGCCTGCCCTGATGGGGGTCTCTGATCAGGGTGGGGTTCCCTGCTGGGGGGCCGTCAGGGGTTTGCAGGCTGGCCCCGCCCCCAATCGGGCTGGGCTCGCTGGCCGAGTAGGCGTCATAGCAACTGGTCGTTCCAGCATTATGGTCGCTGGCTTTTTATATGTATAGATACCAAGTGTTAAACATAGTTATTTTGCGGCATTTGAACTTTGCTTTACTTTAATAGAAAACAATGCTGCTATTAAGCATCTTTGAAAATGGAAAATGAAATAAAATTAGGTGTTCTCTGACCATCCCCATTCTCTATCCCATGTCCATTTCTCTTTACTCTTCTTTATTTTTGTCTATACCATTTCTTACCATCTGACATACTATATATTAATGTTTTTATTTATTTTTTGTCTGTCGCCTTTCACTATAGTATAAGTACTATAAGTCAGGGAATTGGTTTTATTCAATGTTTTATCCATAAAATCTAGAAGATAACTTGACAGAGGACACACTGATTGAATGAAAGAATGAATAAACTATAAATACAAAAAAGAGGATTTTAATTTGGTTGCAAGAAATCTCATGTAACAGGGGTTATAAAAGAGTAGATTCACTTGCCAAAGGATTTAATTGGGGCTTAGATCCCCAATATTAAAACATATGTCCACATTTTAGATACCTACTTCTCTGGAGTTTAAACCAAATAGATATCTTTTTAAAAAATATATATTTTATTGATATTTTACAGAGAGGAAGGGAGAGGAACAGAGAGTTAGAAACATCGATGAGCAACATCAATCAGCTGCCTCTTGCACACCCCCTACTGGGGATGTGCCTGCAACCAAGGTACATGCCCTTGACTGGAATTGAACCTGGGACCTTTTAGTCCGCAGGCTGACGCTCTATCCACTGAGCCAAACCGGTTTCGGCCAAATAGATATCTTTTAACATGATTCTTATTTTTATGTCCAAGACTTACTGTTCAAGCCTCTATTCTTTTTAAAATATATTTTTTATTGATTTTTTTTTTTTACAGAGAGGAAGGTAGAGGGATAGTGAGTTAGAAACATGGATGAGAGAGAAACATCGATCAGCTGCCTCCTGCACACCTCCCACTGCGGAAGTGCCCCAACCAAGGTACATGCCCTTGACCAGAATTGAACCCGGGACCCTTCAGTCCTAAGGCCAACGCTCCATCCACTGAGCCAAACTGGCTACGGCTCAAGCCTCTATTCTGTCTCTTCCTTTTTCATTTCCTCATAAGAAAAAGGTCTCAGAATAGCAATAAGTATGAGATACCTTTATTCCAAAATACTACAACATTGAATAGTCAATATTATAAGCCCATATGGTTACAATTATTTATTTTTCTGAATAAAAGTAATTTTCTTACTCTCTTCAAGATGCCATTTTGTCTGATATGACTGAAGTTGACACTGATGAACACCACCACTGCATAGCACAAATGGAGGTTTTACCAAAAACGTTCAAAGCTATCGAGGGCAATGTCAAGAGGTTGAGTGTAATTAGTACCTCTTTGCTTGAAGACAAGAAGAAACAAGAGGAAAAACAAGGTAAGGATGGTTTAATATATTGGAAATGGTTTTTATTTTTTCTAAAATTCAACTTTATTGAGGTATAATATAGATACCATAATATTCACCCATTTGCCCTGGCCAGGTGGCTAACTTGGTTAGATGTCATCCCATACTTCAAAAGGTTGTCAAATTGATTCCTGGTCAGGGTACATACCTAAGTTGTGGAATCGATCCCAGGGCACATATGGGAGGCAATAAATAAATGTTTCTCTCTCACATCAATGTTCCTCTCCCTTCCTCTCACTATAAAAGCAATAAAAACATATACTTAGGTGAGGATTCTTTTTTAATTCACCCATTTAAAGTGTACAAATCAATGACTTTTAGTAAATTTAGACTTGTGCAACCATCACCACAATCCAATTTTATTTTTTAACATATATTTTTATTGATTTCAGAGAGGAAAGGAGAGGGAGAGAGAGATAGAAACATCAATGATGAGAGAGAATCATTCATCAGCTGCCTCCTGCATGCCCCACACTGGGGACCATGCCCACAATCTGGGTATGTGCCCCAACTGAGAAATCAAACCACGAATTCCTGCTTTATAGGTAGATGCTCAACCACTGAGTCACGTCAGTTGGACCCCACAATCCAATTTTAGAACATTTTCATCATCCCAGAAAGATTCCTCATACCCATTGCAGTCAATATTAATTTCCAACACCAGCCCTAGACACTCAATAATCTGTTTTCTGTCTCAATTGCTTTTGCCTTTTCTGAATATTTCATAAAATGGAATTATATTTTATGTGGTCTTTTATGTCTGTTTTTTTTTCATTTTACATAATGCTTTTGAGGTTCAGTCATGTTATAGGATGTATCAGTCGTTTCTTCCTTCCTATCGCCAATGGCATACTACTGTTTGCATATACCACACTTTGTTTACCCATTCATCATTTCATGGACATTTAGATTGTTTCCAATTTTTGGCTCTTATGAATAATGCTGCTATGAACACACATACATAAGTTTTTTTGTAGACATATGTTTTCATTTCTTTTGAATAGATACGTAGGAATAAAATTGATAGGTCATTTATTTATTGTGGGTAAACTTATGTTTAACTTTTTAAGAAATTGTTAATTGATTTCCAAAGTGATAGTAGAATTTTATATTCCCATCAGCACTGTATTTAGGTTCCAGTTTCTCAACATCCTCAACAACACTTGTTAGTGTCTGTCTTTTTTATTATACATATCTAATAGATGTAAAATAATGTCTCATTGTGACTTTAATTTGCATTTTCCTAATGACTAAGTATGTTCAGCACCCTTTCATGTGCTTATTAGCCATGACTGTATCTTCTCTCGTGAAGTATCTATTTAAATACTCATTTCTAGCCATAACCGGTTTGGCTCAGTGGATAGAGTGTCAGTCTGTGGGCTGAAGAGTCCCAGGTTCGAGTCCAGTCAAGGGCATGTACCTTGGTTGCAGGCACATACATACCCAGTAGAGGGTGTGCAGGAGGCAGCTGATTGATGTTTCTCTCTCATTGATGTTTCTAACTCTATCCTTCCTTCCTCTCTGTAGAAAATCAATAAAATATATTTTAAAAAATAAATACTCATTTCTATTATTGAGTTTTAAGGGTTCTTTATAGTGCTCGCTTTGGCAAGACATATACTTACTAAAATTGGAATAACACAAGAAGATTGGCATGGCCTCTGTGCAGTATGACGTGAATATTTGTGAAGCATTCTATTTTTTAAAGAATTCTTTATATACTCTGGATAAAGTAATTTACAAATATTTTCTCCCAGTTTGTGGCTTGTATTTCTATATCCTCTTTAAATTGACTTATTTATTTTAATTTTTTTAAATCCTCAGCTGAGGATATTTTTTTTTTTTGAGGATATTTTTGTATTGATTTTCACAGAGAGTGGAAGAGATAGACGAAGACAGAGAGAAACATTGATGTGAGAGAAACACACCAATTGGTTGCCTCCTGCACACGCCCTGACCAGGGCCTGGGCTGGGGAGGAGTCTGCAACCACGGTACCTGCCCTTGACCGGAATCCAATTGGGACCCTTTGGTCTGCAGCCCAACGCTCTATCCACTGAGCCAAACCCATTCGGGCTCTTTTCATTTTCTTAATGGTATCTTTGAAACCCACAAGTGTTTAATTTTTATAAAGTCCAATTAACTTATTTTTTATTTAATAGAAGTTTTATCATAATTTTAGTGTTGTGTTATGAACTTGAAGGGAATTCCAAGATGGCTGCAGAGAAGCTGGAAGCTCCATTCATTTGCTCCCAGCCCAGGATTAGACTTGCAGCTAAACTGCAGAGCAATCAACGAGAAAAACCAGTTGAAGTGTAGCTGATCTGAAACTATACTAGTAAACAGTAGCACAGAGGAAGACAGCAGACAGAAAGTGTGAACCCCCTCATGCAGGCGCGGTCGCTGGGAGGCCAGAGGGATATTGTGGCAGCAGAGCCCCCTCTCGATGGGAGCATGGAGTCTCAGCCCCACGCAGGGATCCCCAATCCAGAGCAACAGAGACAGGAGGGGGAGCTGGCGAAGCATCAGGTCGTGGTAATGAGTGGGAATTCGGTCCACCTGGGAGATTTGGACCACACCATCCCAGGGGAAAAGCAATCATATTGTTTCATTTTTTTAAAATTAAATCTTTATTGTTCAGATTATTGCAGTTGTTCCTCTTTTTCCCCCCCATAGCTCCCCTCCACCTGGTTCCCACCCCACCCTCCGCCCTTACCCACGCCGCCCCAACACTGTCTTCATCCATAGGTGCACAATTTTTGTCCAGTCCCTTCCCACATCCCCCACACCCCTTTCCCCCAATAGTCCACTCCCTTTCTATGCACCGATTCTATTA